CCCTAGGCAAAAACGAGCGCCTATGCCTTGCAATATGGGGGTAGCCCCACCGCAAGAGTTCATCAAATTTTTACCTAGAGCTTTCTTTAAGCTACATGGTACCTGATACAGTGGATTACTAGTGATGTATTAGAGCAGGGGTAGGCAGCCTCAGCACTCCGGCTGTTGTGGAATTACAACTCCCATGAGGCATTGCAGGTCTCCGACAGCCACAGGCACGACTCCTGGAGGCATGATGGGATTTCTAGTTTCGGCACAGCTGGCGTGCTGAGATTGATTACCCCTGCATTAGAGGGTACATGTGACGAGGGTACAATATAACCAATAAATATGCCCTTGGACTTGCGATGATATTTTTAGAAACTTTCCACTTTAAACTTCAGATAAAAGATGGCTACCATGCTTCATGACCAGTGTGCATTGGTGTGTAGAGCTTTTTCCAACCAAATACAGACTGTAACCATATGTATAGAGTGTATTTATAAAATGGCCACAGAGCTGCTCACTGAAAGCATCTAAAATAGGAACGTTGAGCATGCCCACAATATGGCCTCAAGCTCTGTGCAGACTTTTGGGAAGCATGGAACCAATTACAAGAGCAGGGGGATAAAAACTGTAGGAAATCTCATTAATAAACTGTACTGTTCCCATAGTAACACAAAATAACAATTGTAACTTTTATATTACAGCTTAGGAAATAAAAGATTGGGCTACACATGGAAATGTATTTGTTGTTGTTTAGAAAATGTCTTCTGGTGTATAGAATTTAACGAAAATGGAACTTTCATTTAGTGCTTGTTCACGTCAGACACGGAACACACTGGATCGCATTGCAGCCGGCTCAGTTTGTTGTGGGGCGTGAGGGGGCGTGACAGTCAATTGAACTTAATGGCACCAGAGCTGCTCACTCCGGCCGCAATGCGATCAGCTGCACGGGAACGAAAGGCACATCAATGCCTGTGTTCCCGTCCGGTCAGAAAAAATAGTGCTTGCGTTCCCGTGCAGCCAATCGCATTGCGGCCGGAGGGCGAGGCTATGGTGCCATTGAGTTCAATGGACCGCCACACCCCCTCCCGCCCCACAACAAAGTGAGCCGGCTGCAATGCAATTCAGTGCGTTCCGGCCAGAATCAGCCTGGAACGCACTGTGTCTGGTGTGAACTGCAGCCTACATTCTGCAGGACAAGCAACAGCCTCTCCAGCCCCACACAGCCGCCCTTACATGCTGCGGGTGGCAGAGTGGCGGGGAAGGAGCGGCACTATCTCGGGGGGGCCCTCTTCTTCCTCGCTGGGCCCCCCCCCAACAGGTGGTACGCCAGGGCCCGTTCGCAATTGTGACCGCTGCGACCCTGGTAGTTCCGCCAGTGACTTTAACCCTTGCGGCGTAGGGGAAGCCCACTGCAAAGGTATCGTTTTTATTTTAGCCAGAGTTCAGCTTGAAGGATGCTATATACACCAAGAACTAAGACTTGGCACTACTTTATGTGATTTAAAGTGTTAATACAAAGAAATAAACAATCCAGAGATAATATAACACAGTGGACAATGCGGGAGAATCTCATACATTGCAAAAGAAGAGTTTACAGTGTAACTTCTCCCCAGGATTCTGCAGACCATAAGGCTCCATTCACACTGGAGCGGCTGCCCGCGCGTATTTGGCTGTACGGATACACACAAAGCCGCTCTAAACAGAAACAAAATGCAATTTATTGTACATTGTTTAGACTATTGCGGGGACGAAACAGCGCAGCCCTCTAAAATAGTACAAGCACGTTAATATGGCGGATTCGAATGGCATCCATGCAGATTAAACATTTTAGGAGGCTATTCACTTAGCTGCCAAAGTGAAGTGAGCCAAACGCTGTTCGGCTATTCATTTCAGCCTTGTACGGCTGATTTCAGCCATACATTGGCTAAAACCAGCCGTACATCGTCTGCCTTCGGTCAGCCGAACATGCACTGCATATTCCAGATGAGGTCTTACCCTGTACAAAGCATTAGTAAGACCTCATCTGGAATAAGCAGTTCAGTTTTGGGCACCAGTTCACAAAAAGGATATTGTGGAACTGGAGAAAGTGCAGCGAAGGGCGGCCAAACTCATAAGAGGCATGAAGGAGCTCAGCTATGAGGAACGATTAGCTGACCTGAATTTGTTCTCTCTGGAGAAGAGGCGACGCGGAAAGGATTGCATGCGGAAAGGATTCTTCACAGTTAGAGCTGTGAAAATGTGGAATAGACTCCCCCGGGAGCAATAGGTTGGACTTGATGGACTTGTGTCTTTTTTTAACCTGACTAACTATGTAACTATGAAGTGCAGAAGGAGTTCGATTCAGCTGATCCAACATCTGGATCGCTGCCGTTCGGCCCCTGTGAGAATAATAGGCATTTGGCTCGGCTATTCTGCTCGGTACCTCCGTAGTAGGGAGATCACGGCTGGCTCCTCCCAGCTGTCATTTGCGGGGAGATCGGTTGGCTTCGGCCGACCTTTCTCCACGCTTCGGGTGTCACTACAGCTCAGCCAAGCCGAAGCATATGGGTTTGGCTCGGCTGAGCCGCTCGGCTGCTGTGCGGGGTATTGTAAATTGCCTGTTCCAATTCCCTTCGGTTCAACTCAAGATCAGCCAAAGCTACAGTTGGATCCTTCGGCTCCGTCGTGAATAACCTCCTTAGACACAAACACATGTGAATGGACCCTAACAAAACCACCAGGGTCCCATCTACTGCAACCATGTACACATCTACTGCAAACATGTACACATCTACTACAACCATGAACACATCTCCTGCAACCATGTACACATCTACTACAACCATGAACACATCTACTGCAACCATGTTCACATCTACTGCAACCATGTTCACATCTACTGCAACCATGTTCACATCTACTGCAACCATGTTCACATCTACTGCAACCATGTTCACATCTACTGCAACCATGTTCACATCTACTGCAACCATGTTCACATCTACTGCAACCATGTTCACATCTACTGCAACCATGTTCACATCTACTGCAACCATGTTCACATCTACTGCAACCATGTTCACATCTACTGCAACCATGTTCACATCTACTGCAACCATGTTCACATCTACTGCAACCATGTTCACATCTACTGCAACCATGTTCACATCTACTGCAACCATGTTCACATCTACTGCAACCATGTTCACATCTACTGCAACCATGTTCACATCTACTGCAACCATGTTCACATCTACTGCAACCATGTTCACATCTACTGCAACCATGTTCACATCTACTGCAACCATGTTCACATCTACTGCAACCATGTTCACATCTACTGCAACCATGTTCACATCTACTGCAACCATGTTCACATCTACTGCAACCATGTTCACATCTACTGCAACCATGTTCACATCTACTGCAACCATGTTCACATCTACTGCAACCATGTTCACATCTACTGCAACCATGTTCACATCTACTGCAACCATGTTCACATCTACTGCAACCATGTTCACATCTACTGCAACCATGTTCACATCTACTGCAACCATGTTCACATCTACTGCAACCATGTTCACATCTACTGCAACCATGTTCACATCTACTGCAACCATGTTCACATCTACTGCAACCATGTTCACATCTACTGCAACCATGTTCACATCTACTGCAACCATGTTCACATCTACTGCAACCATGTTCACATCTACTGCAACCATGTTCACATCTACTGCAACCATGTTCACATCTACTGCAACCATGTTCACATCTACTGCAACCATGTTCACATCTACTGCAACCATGTTCACATCTACTGCAACCATGTTCACATCTACTGCAACCATGTTCACATCTACTGCAACCATGTTCACATCTACTGCAACCATGTTCACATCTACTGCAACCATGTTCACATCTACTGCAACCATGTTCACATCTACTGCAACCATGTTCACATCTACTGCAACCATGTTCACATCTACTGCAACCATGTTCACATCTACTGCAACCATGTTCACATCTACTGCAACCAAGGACATATTTACTGCAACCATGGACACATCTACTGCAACCATGAACACATCTACTGCTACAATGTATAAACCAGTTTCCAATTTCTATTATATACAATGTTCAAAAAAAGAGTTATAAGGAGAGGAGAGCAATGCAGATGATTAGAATGTAATGATCTGAGAGACATAACTAGGCTCATCCTATGCATGTGTCCACAGAAACAAAACAGCACATCACATGTTTTCTCAGGGTATTGCCTGTGACTGATGATCGCAGCATGATCTCAGTGATTTCATACTATGTACTGATGATTGCATTATGATCTCAGTGATTTCATACCATGTACTGATGATTGCACCATGATCTCAGTGATTTCATACTATGTACTGATCGCAGCATGATCTCAGTGATTTCCTACTATGTACTGATCGCAGCATGATCTCAGTGATTTCCTACTATGTACTGATGATCGCAGCATGATCTCAGAGATTTCATACTATGTACTGATGATCGCACCATGATCTCAGTGATTTCATACTATGTACTGATGATCGCACCATGATCTCAGTGAGTTCATACTACAGTATGTACTGATCATGTGTATTGTTGGGATAAGGACATGTATGTGTAGTCTGTGACTGATAATTGCAGTAGACTGCAGTGATTTCATACTATGTGCTGATGATTGCAGTATAATTTTAGTGAATTCATACTATGTACTGATGGCAATATGATCTCAGTGACATCATACTACGTACTGATGTAAAAATAGTGAATTCATACTGATGGCAGTATAATATTAGCAGTGATCAGTCTGGAAGTTGCAGCATTTTCCCCTCTACCCCCCAGTGACAGGCAGCAAGGACATGGCATAGATTGCAGTGACCTCACACTATCCAGCTGCAGTCACCTTGCCCCATCCCCTCCATACACAGCCATGACAAGTGCCCCGTTTGCACCATGGCTGGGGTACCTAGGTGGTATGATGATGATAACACGGAGTGACTGACCTGCCAGGCGCTTGTCTCGGATGTTCCTCCATAGCAGATCCCAGGCTTTGCTGGTGGAGTCCTTCAGCTGCTCGCTCAGAGATCTTCTGAGATGGAATTTGGCGGATCGTTTACTTGTCATTGTAAATCCCTCAGCATCATGCCGGCACCTTCCCCGGACACGGCTGGTGTGTGGAGAATGTCCCGGGAGGAGGAGGATGAGGAGGGGGGAGTACACAGGACACTGCGGCTCCTCTCAGTACTGCCCCGTGTAATGCAGAGCTGAGGGTCCCTCCATGTGGAGACACTGACACTGAGCTCTGCACGCAGCTCAACTACAGGGAACCCAACCTTCCCCTTCATTTACCTTCCAGCCAGCCCGCTCCTGTGTTGTCTGCTGACACCAACAGGAAAGGTTACCCGCCTGCTATAGTCTACCAACTCTTCCATGGCTGCCCACAGAGAACATTAACATTGTAATGGCCAAACACTAACTTCATAACTTCTATCCTTCTCACCCATGTGTGCTCCCTCCAAAATCTATACCAGACCCTTATCTCAGATAGGGGTCTGCTATCACTTATAAGGGGGACCCTATGCAAAGACACAAAAAACTGGGGTTCCCTTTTCACATCAGATTCCTCCTTTACATTAATTTACATCAGAGTCACCCCCTTTCACACTAGTATCCCCTCTTTTACATCAGAGTCCCCCTCTTTTACATCAGAGTCCCCCTCTTTTACATCAGAGTCCCCCTCTCACACTAGAATCCCATCTTTTACATCAGAGTACCCTTATTTCACATCAGAGTGGCCCCCTCTCAAACTAGAATACTCTCTTTTACATTAGAGTCCTTCTCTTATACATCAGAGTTCCCCTCTTTTACATTGGAGTTCCCCACTTGAACATCAGAGTCCCCCTTTTTTAATCAGAGTGCCCCTCTTATACATCAGAGTCCCCCTCTTTTACATTAGAATCTCCATCTTTTATATCAGAGTTCCCCACTTGTACATCAGAGTCCCCATCTTTTACATCAGAGTCCCCCTCTTATACATCACAGTCCCCTTCTTATACATCAGAGTCCCCCTCTTATACATCAGAGTCCCCTTCTTATACATCAGAGTCCCCCTCTTATACATCAGAGTCCCCATCTTTTACATCAGAGTCCCCCTCTTATACATCAGAGTCCCCCCTTTTACATCAAAATCCCTATCTCTTACATCAGAGTTCTCCACTTGCACATCAGAGTCCCCCTACTTTACATCAGAGTTACCCCCTTTCTCACACTAGAATCTCCTCTTTTACATCAGAGTCCCCTCTTTCACATCAGGAACTCCCCTTTTTACATCAGAGTCCCCCTTTTACACATCAGAGTCCCCCTCTTATACATCAGAGTCCCCTCTTTTACATCAGGAACTCCCCTTTTTACATCAGAGTCCCGCTCTATTACACTAGAGTTCCCCTCTTTCACATAAGGAGCCCCCCTCTTTTACATCAGAGTCCCCCTCTTTCACATCAGGAGCCCCCCTCTTTTACATCAGAGCCCCTCTCTTTTACATCAGAGCCCCTCTCTTTCACATCTGGAGCCCTTTCTACGTCAGAGGCATAACACTGTGAAATTTTGAAGCATCCCCGAGGAAGCCAGAAGGCACCCCAGAGTGCCACAGCATCCTGGCTCAAAGGCTGGGATAGACTGTAAAAGTTTAGGTCCTCAATCACCTTTTTATGTATGACTGTGTCCCCCAAAATAAGATCTGCCCTTACTTCCTGTGCAAATGAGGTGTGTGAGAACAAGATATGAAGAGACATCTCCTCTACAGGGGCTGAATCACACTTTTGCATTACTCCTGTGGGGGTGTTGCAGTGCTATTTGTTTTGTATGGCACCCCAAGCACTAATTGTATATTTATCCCTCATGGGTGACCCCCCAGGGTGAATCTGCAATTCTTGCCGGCAATGAAATAAGCCATATGTGTGCATTATATGAGAACAGCCCCGGCCAACAGCCTCACATGCAGGTTTATACTGTACCCTGTACAAATCAATAGCCAGCGTTGCTGCTGTTCCTATATAACCAATCATACCAGCCATTAGATCGCCCTGGACGCAGATGGTTTATTTCAAGGGCCAGAGGTTCTGCCCACATACAAAGATGCAGCAGCTAATCATGCAATTTGTATGGGGCCATAGCACAGAGTGCTGCTGGGTCCAGATGTGGAGTTTTGCCACATCTGTATGCGCCAGACTAATCAGTAATTGCCCATCTGAATGAAGCCTAACAAGCGTCACAACACAAATGTGAATGGGCTCTTAATCCAACCAAATTGGGTTTTTTTTAAGCTTTGCAGGGATGGGGAAGAGTCTGTGGCCCCACTGGGGAGTTTTCCCCTCACTTCCTATTCCTGAGATGCCTGTACAAGAAATGAGGGTTGTCACTGGGACAGGAAGGTACAGAACTACAGACTACAATACAAACACATTTCAACCCTTCACCACTACTACAAACAGTTGTGTCCATTGTCAGATAGATTTCCCATCACTACCTGCCCTGGCAGGGCTTGAGGGGAAATTAGGCTTGCCTCAGGCAGCATCTCATTGGGTCATGTGGGGGGTCCCGCCCAGCTTCTGGCAACCAATGAGCTGGACGGGACGCCGGACAGAGCCGGAGCCAGAGGTACCATGCATCACCTGCACCCCTCCACCCCCGGTTAAGTGCACCATCAGCAACCAACCTCCCAGTAATGTGCACCACCAGCGATTCCCTTTACAACCACCACCCCTGGACTGTGCAACACCAGGAACCCCCCACCCCGGGTATACCAATGGCAAATCAAACCTGACAGAAGCTCTAACCCTTCCCTGCTAGAGGTAATCATTGACCGTAGCTCAAAAATGATTGTAAAGTAAATTTTTATTTGGTGAAATTTAATCATACACATATTAAACCAATCACTAAAAACAGGCATGCCATACTCCAATGAAAGCGTGGGTCAAGCACCAGCTGGACATGTCCCATTTAGTCCAAACAATTTGTTAGATCTCAAAGGTTATCTTTTTATTGAAAACATTGTAATAAATAATTATAATATGTATGTCTATCCATAAGTGGTGAGGACAGGGTTTGATAACAATCATGTCTTTGGCTACTTGGGAGTATTAGTAAATGAATCTCCCTCCCGCTGGATGTGGCCGGAAGCGACGCTGATTCAGGGCCGGATTAACATAGAGGCTACTGGAGCATTAGCTCCAGGCCCACCACTGAAAATAGGCCTGCCCTATTTTCGGGCCGGCCGGGCTGGACACAATCAGGTAGAGCTGCCAGCAGCTCTCTAATCAGGTATTTAGGCGACCACTCAGTGCGGCCTCACAATTTTTAGGGCTCATTCACACCATAGGTCACGTAGTAGTTTGCCAAACGTGCCAAGCAGGACACACAGCTTACACACAAAACACACAGTTAAAAAACACATGAGGCTTGATGCTCAAAAAAGTGCAAGGACTTCTTCGCCACACTTGTAACATGTAGGGCAGCCCATTGAAATGCATGTCCTACCCTATTCACAGCATGTGGCAAATGTGCAAAGACGAGCATGGTGGGGCATGATGCGTGAATGGGGGGCTAAGACATCTTTCCCATTAAACATTGATACATGTAATAAGCCACTACTGGGGACAGATCTGAGAGACTGCATACACTGGGGGTGAGGAACATCGGTTCTTCACTGTGAAAGGGGAATTATAATAAAGAAGGTCAAACTTTTATTTTTAGTTTTTTTTACTTTGAAAACCCAATGTTCAAGAAAAATACAAAAACCACGACTTCTGCCAGCATATGATTGGTTGACTGACGTGAGCACGGATGTATCTTATGTACGAAGCTCAGTAAAAATTCACTTTGCTAAATGAACAGTTCATCTTCCTTTAATAAATCAACCCCAGTGCAGTCGTCATTCCTACTTCTGTACGGAAGCAAAATCCTCCCGGTGATCCAGATTTGTCATGTGTACAGGGGACGATAGGGATTATTATTATACAGGATTCATAGCGTCAAACGTTTGTGCAGTGGTTTACAATATATACAATAATAACAAGGAAGACATTACAATCACAATACAATTCAAGACAAGATGGCAAGGAGGGCCCTGCCCGTGAGGGCTTACAATCTAAAACATGGGATATGTTTTAAGGGCCCAGTCACACCATATCCAGTGTGTTCAGGCGCGATCAGGGCCGGATTTCCCACAAGGTCAACCGAGGCCCGGCCTTGGGGCAGCAGAGAGTAGAGAGGCAGCAGGGGTGTGGAATTCCTATCTCCTGAGGCCCAGGACATGCAGTTCTGGGCGCTGGGCGGGTCGTTGTTTTCTACATTTAGTCCTGCTTTGGGCAAGCAGGGCTAAATGTACAACGGGGAAGCCGCCGCTTGTTTTGTACGATGTCGCCGAGATCACTTTTATGCATCCTGCATACAGGGGGGCGCATTGAGGAATCTGGCATTGGGGCAGCAGAGAGAGTATAACTGGCTCTGGGCACTATCCGAGCCTGTAATGTACTGGATTGCATAGATCAGGCCGGACCGTATTCATGTCAATGGCACCACAGGCACCCACCCACAGTGCGATCGCTTGCACCGGAACGCAAAGTACAGGAATGCCCTCCGTTCCGGTCCAGTGTGATCTGAAAAAATAGTGCTTGCAGCATATTTTCAGATAACACTGGACCGCAGCACAGGGATTGTTTTGCTATGCGTTCTGGTGTGGGCGATCGCACTGCGGGTGGGCCATTGACTTCAATACACCGTTACGCTCCCTCCCACCCCTGAACGCAAGAAGCCAGCCGGGATGCGCTCCAGTAGCGAATCAAGCTTGAACGCCCTGGAGATGGTCTGAACCGGCCCTACAGAATCATAATGAGTATTTACATCAGCAGAATCAAAAAAGGTACAAATTCTAAATCAAACACGGTGCGGTCCTTTATACGGACTGCACTCATTGATGATCTTACTGCCTCATCATTAATATGAATGATTATAATCTCATTATTTTATACATTATAATATACAGTAAATGATGAAATATTACTATCTGCCCAATTTCTATACTCGCCCTCAGATAGTGACATGGAAACTGAAACAGCGTACAGAAGCACAGACGTCTGGAAAGAATTTCAAATGAGTCTACATTGTAAACAGAAGTTCATTTTATTACAGCACATGCTTAGTACAAGGCATTCCTCCAGAAGTCCTGTG